ATTTGTATTATAATTAACTTATTTGTTATTCTTTGTAATTTAAATTAATATACCTTTTATTCAAATACATCATCATAATAAAATACTATTTAATAATTCATTATTTGATTTTATATTAATATTTGTGTAGTATTTTTAATATACAATAGTTAATTCAATTCAAAAGAAATAAAAATAGTAGTCAAAACAAAAAAAGAAGAAAAAAGAAGAAGAAAAAAGAATAAAAGAAGAATAAAAGAAGAATAAAAGACAACTCAAAAATAATCAAAAGAAAAATGGAGATTGAATTGACAATTCTTGCCGCAAATAATATTATTGCAGGAGACATTGGAGGGACTAGTGATGGATATGTTAAATTTGAGACAAGAAAAACAAAAAAGATGAAAACCAAAATAGCACCACCAACTTTAAACCCAGTGTGGAATCAAAAGTTTAATTGTATTATTGAGCCAAATGAAGAAATAAAATTTGAAGTGTATGATCATGATTTAATAGGAAAAGATGATAATTTAGGAGAAGCAAGATTAATAGTACCAGGTTTAATGACAGGAGAATATTGGCATGACTGTTTAAGTATTTCTAAAAGAGGACATTTATATGTATCATTATATTGTAAAAAAGGAATAAATGGATCAACAATGCATCCATTTAGTCCATTAGCAGATATGGTTATTAGAATGGAATTTAATAGAGTAACACATTTAGGAAGATGTAATGGAAATCCACAAGTAGGTAAAATTATAATTAAACCACCAAATCAAAAAGAACAAATATCAAATGTATTTACATTTAATAAATCTACAAAAATATCAGAAACTTTTATTATTAAATGTAAACCAGGAGATAAAATTGAATTTAAAGTAGAAGAACCAGGATTATTATCTAATACTACAGTTGATAAATCATCTATTACTATTCCTGACTTTAAAGAAGGTGAAAAATCTGAAGAACATTTACCAGGAAAAAAAGGAAGTACATTTGATTGTAAAATTCAATGTATTAGAAGTGTTTATCATAATGTTTTTCCTCAATTTATTCCTCAAGATAATGATTTTATTAATGAAAATGAAATGAAGTTTTATCTTTATTTTGATAAAGCAGAAAAAATTAAAGCTGGTGATATTGGTGGAACTAGTGATGCTTATGTTAAATTTAAAACTTCTAAATCAAAAGAAAAGAAAACTTATGTTTTTGCTCCTTCTGTTAATCCTGATTGGAATCAATGCTTTAGAATTAAAGGTACTCTCGGTGAAGAAATTATTTTCCATTTGTTCGATAAAGACACTCTCACTTCTGATGATCATTTGGGTGATGCTAAATGGAAAATTGACCCATTATTTAATAACCAATGGAAAAAATTTAAACTTCAAATTGATAAAAAAGGTTCTCTCTCTATTGAAGTTAAACGTGTTAAAACTTTAAGTCTTACTTATAAAAGACTCCTTGGTTTACCTGTTCCTTCTACTCAATTTCAAGGTTATCCTCAACAACAACCTTATCCTTATCCTCAACAATATCAATACCCACCACCACAAGGCTATCCTCAACAACAACCTTATCCTCCACAACAAGGCTATCCTCAATATCCTCCTCAACAACCAGGTCAATATCCTCCACAACAAGGCTATCCACAGCAACCAGGTCAATACCCACCACAAGGCTACCCACAACAACCAGGTCAATATCCTCCTCAACAAGGTTATCCTCAATATCCACCTCAGCCTTATCACTCTCAAGCTGCTGGTGCTCTTCCAAAGAAATAATTTAACTTATTTTTCTTATTCTTAATTTTTATGTTGGTTTGTATGTTTATTGGATGTTATTTATTAAAAAGTAATTATTAATCAATCAGACTTTTATTTATTCTATTTCCTGCTGTGAACTATTGAATTTTATTGTTAATGTGGTATTAATTGATGAATGTATGAGATGGTACTACATCATTTATTTTCATTGTTTATTCTTGTTGTAGAATCAGAATTAACAATTATTTTCATTTATTTCTGATTAAACATTTTGACAATACAAAATACATGATTTTTAAAAGATGAATTAATTGATTGATGAATAACATTTGAATATATTGTTTTTATGACGTTTTTCATGTGACTAATTATTAATTCTTATTGTTTTCTTCTTGTTCATTGTTTATTGAAATAAGAATTGTCAAATGATTATTGTATCAATTAAATTATCCATCATTTATTGATATTCAAAGGTATTTTAATTATTTAATAATCAAAATTATCTACATTTTGAAATGATAAATGATAAAATTGTATTTTATTAATTAAATTCATATTATTCATTTTGATTATCAATTGAATAGATAGTACTAAATCATGTGAGTGAACAGAATATTTGTGATATAATAATGATTATTAATAATGATAATCATATAAAAATATATTAAATAATGAAATATCAATGTTTCATTCAAAATTATTCATTTTTATTACTACTTTGTTATTATTATCATAACAACAATTTATTTATTAATCATCTATATATTGAATGATTTTATTTAATATTGCAACACAAATATAATCAATGATGTTAATACTGTTCAATTGGAATGGATTATAATGATAAATTATAATATCGAGAGAGAAATGAATAATCAAATGTTATAATGTATTACAAAATCATGATAAATAAAATACTATCATCACAAATACATTTCATCATCATAATTTGTGATGATAATGTTATTCATTGTTTTGTATTTCTATGTTCAGATAAATAAATTTCTATTGATTTTTTAGCATTAAACTCAATGAAACATATTTCAACAACATAAATATTAATTTGTATTTAATATAATTACAAAATGATGTTAAACAGTATGAGTTTTGATAATTATATTATAACTGACGTTGATTCATAATATATCATTTGATATTCAATAATACAACACGTAAAATAAGAGATTACATTAAATGATAAATAAATCAATCATATATAGTGTTAATTAGAAACGAAAAAAAGCAAATAAAGTAAGAAGTAGAATAATATGAAGAAAAAGTAAAAATAAAGTAGAAAAAGATAAAAAGAATAAAGCATAATAAAGTAGATAAAAAGATAATAAAAG